TAGAAAGGTGATGTTTGGCGTAGGGGAGCTGACACTTTTTACTATAAGTAAGTACAAATAGTTAATCCCTGCTCCAGAAATCTTGTATCTAAGGATAATATGAATAAATACAGATATTAAAACAAATATTTACTAATTTAACTTTTATGTTTATAAATAGACTATAATGTCCTTGAACTTAGGAATCCTTGTGATTCATTATGTTATGCCTTTTGCCTGGCAGCATGTGGTTGCTTGAGAAATCTTTGTCGATGACTGCTTACTAAATAAGTGAATTGCCTCAATGACTGAAGAATGGGTAAGAATTATCCAGCAGACAGTGAGAACTGGTCTAACAACCAAGTTCCTATTGCTTTGGCAGGTAGTTCGGGCCTTCTGGTAATATCTGCCTAAAGAAGTTCAGGGGTCTGCAGCTGGTCTGTTAGGCTCAGTGCCAATGGGTCCTGGCACCCCTCCCCTGTAGGTTACTTGGTGATTTGCATGACCTCAGACTGACTGACTTGCTGGTGTGGCTGCATTCCTCAAAGAGGGACTTTCTTCAAGGCAGAGACTCTGGTATATACGCTATTGGATGGAATCCCTGCTCTTTCCCTTAATAGGGGCAACTGTCTGGACTTTGTGACTCTGTTTCCTATGTGTAAACTGGGTGGGTGATAATAAATCACAGTTAAGAGGAGAAAAGATGTCCATTTGTGCCAAGTAGTTAAAAAATGAATTATTTAATGTAAATCTTTATAGAAAAATGCTTGGCATATAGCATGTTCTAAGAATTTTTCTCCTACTTAATATTTAATTTACACAGGGTTAGAGAGAAGAGAATATAATGACACCAATTTCTATTCTAATACATGAAATAGATATCTGTGGTCACTGAATAGTATAATTTATGAAAAATCAAGTAAATGTTATAACTTACAGATTACCCCTAAAATAATTTTTCCCAAATTAGTGCTTTTTAAGTGAAATCCTGCCTGCAACTATCTGAATTATGTAAAAATAAGAAACACATTTAATTCCATACAGAATGCAGGATGCATTTTTACCTACAAAGAACTATTATCAGACACTCGAAGAAAAAAATAAGGAAACATTCTCTACTTTCCCACAAGCCAGGAAACTTTTCAAAAGCTTTTAAAAGACCATGTGTCTGCTTGTTTATGTTATCTCTTGGAGCTCTGCTTTCACAAGATGAAATATGATATTTAGAAGGGGAAAGAGACTGCCCAGGGAACAACTGAAGCCCAATTGTTCCTTGAATGACTTAAGTCTCTTTTCATCCTTCCACAAACAATCACTGAAAATGTGCTTTAGGCAAAGTGCTGTGTTAAGCCTTCTGTGTGTTTATTTACAATGTGTAGCGAGTCTGCTTCTCTATATTCAAGGAGGTGTGGCCTGCTAGGCCAGAAAGAGTTAACAGGTCTCCCTAGGGAACACACGGTCCCACTGTCCACCCAGTTTTTGGTTGGACAGCACTACTAATGAGATCAAGGTCTGGGTTTTGACCCCTGCTTGAACATGTTTCAACCTTGTTCAGCAGTTTTGGGTCACAAACTATACTTTGACCTCAAAGTCTAATCCCAGCGTATGTTAGAGCAAATTTGTTGCTATCACTGGTATTCCATGATCACACTGTATGGCATCCCATCTGAAGGATGGTGAGATAGCTAATATCTATATAAATTTTATTATGTGCTAAGGACTATTATTAATGCTTTACCTATGTTAACACATTTTAATTTTCACAGTACCTCTATAAGGAAAATACTATAATATTATCCACTTTTCACTGATCAGAAAACTAAGCAGTGAGAAGTTATGTAACTTCCCATGGCAGAGGTGGCAGAGCTGGGATACAAATCTAGAATTGCCCAAGAACATGGTGTATGGCTTTTATTTTCATTTTTTGTTTTATTTTCAGACCACACACTTAAAATTCCAAACAATGTTTGTTATCCTTAAAAATTAATTTCAGAGAAAAAAGATTGAGTTGAAAAGACTACTAAATATCAAAGCTGTTTTTGGGGCCTAAAAACACATCAAAGGGCATAGTTTTAATGGAATTGATAAAAACTCAAGACTTTGCCACTCAATAGACTATCTGTCTTAGATATTAAAGAATCCTTTTACATTTGTGGAAAACAGTATGCTAATAAATAATCCCCAGTTATATTGCATTATTTGACAACTAGTTCTGTGTTATTTTCATTACATTAAATGGTAGCAGTAAATATGAAAACGTCATAATTCATTGATAAACTTTATTATTTTGTTGTTGAATTTGTTACTGACAGCTCCCATCATTTTCACATCATTTAAGAGATTCAACATGTTTTCAGGGTTACTGACATTTCTTTTAGTTTTGAGTGGATTTTAATGTTTATTTGCACTTGGGTAGGAACTGCAAAATCTCATTAAAAGACAATTGTGTATTTCCACTAACGGGTCATGAAATATGGATGGTAATATGTTTTCATTTGAGTCCAAGGTGGATGAGAAGGAGGAATACTTATAAAATTTATAACACTGACCCATTTGCTCAGGACATGTCCTTATTAATAATAACTTCTACCCATTGTTTAATTTCTTTTGAAATATGTGATAATTTTCACTGGCCAAAGATCACCAGTGGAGAACAACCTAAAACAGAGAGCAGTTGTAATTTAACTGGTTGGAAAAGTAGTCCAGAGTTTCTACAATGTTCTAAAACTTCTCAAATATCTCAACATGTAAAGTGATATAAAACTTTATGTACATGTTTAACAGAGTTCTAATCTGCCCTCAAGTGTAGGGAAGCTGTCTATAGGCAGAAGTTTATTCATGTATTTATCCAGTGAATGTTTATTGAGTCCTAATTAACTATGATTTAAGGTGAAAAGTGAAAAATCAGAAAGTATGTTGAATGGAACGCTAATAGAAATGCAATCTTTTTGCTTTAAATGTCTGATTTAAGGGACTTTTTATATAAGCTCTTGTGAAATTATAAGTCTCTTAGTTCTTTCACCAGTACAGAATAATTGACCTGGAGATCCAAGGATATTTGTCACACTAGTGTAAGTGTAATGCTTGGAAGTATAGTAGGAGAATAAAGAAATGATATGCCAAGTTCAGTGGTCAAGCCACTAGTTCACAATGAGCTCTCTTCTCACATGCCATTGTAGCTGAAATTAAATGCTCTTACCATTTCCAACCAAATCCATTTTTTTTTGAGAAATGGTTTAAACATAATTTTGATGAAAATTCAGCTGACTTTGTGAACTTAAAAAATTGTCTCTGAAGTAGACATGTTGATTTGAGTTAAAAAGATGTTGGTGCTTGCATGAGAATGGTGGGACTTGTAATCTTGAGGTTCAGTGGACATGTTGGTGAAGGTTCTTAGTCTGTGGAGTGTAATAATTCCCCTCCCAAGCAGTGGTATACAAGGACACGGTATAGCTAAATTGTGTGCGCGCAGCTTTCTTTAGCTACATGGTGCATTACTGCCCCAACAGAGGAATGGAAAGTAGTCAAGTAGAGTGTCATTGAAGAAGGGCATTGGTTCCTGAGGGTCTCGTGCCTTAGGTTGATGATAGGCATGTCTTAATTCAAATTCAATTATTCTGACAAGATTTTAGAATTTATTTATGGAAAACTCACTGCAATGATTTTTTCTAATCAGTGTCTCCCTCTCTTGGTCTCTCTCACTTGTAAAACTTAATAATAAAGGCATTTTGGATGTTGGCAAAGGATGTTATACAAAGATAAGGTGGGATTAAATTAGTTAAGGACAGTGTAAAGATAGCAAAGATAAAACAGACCACCACTTAATTTAGAAATTTCTGTCTTCTTACTGTTTCATTATATTCAGATATTTAATCCAGAAATTGTTTAGAAAAACTAAATTATCTAGGTCATTATTTTTGTACTCTACTATATTTGTTAGTTAAATGAAGACACTGAATCTTTTAGTTTTCCAAAAACAAATACAGAATATATGCATTACAAAAGTGGTTATTGAATACATGTAGATAAACATACACTGGACTGTGTGTTATCAGGACAAGAACAATGAGGCAAAGGACAATTGGAAGTTCCTGGATTGCCATAAAGTATTTATCTTTTGTTTAAAAATTTAGGTTTTACATTGCTTTCTGTACTTTCAGATGTATGCAGATAATTTATATAGATGAACACATAGATGAATAAGACTTGAATGGAAGCAAAGAAGACCATTACCTCAAATTCTTCTTAATAGTTTGTCATTCATTTGAGAAAAGAACTTCACATCTATACTTGCTATTATAATAAAAAATATTTATTATAAAAATCATCACATTTCTCTGTACATAGCCTACAGTCAAAAACACAAATTACACATTAATAATTTAAGTTTGCTTGAATAATTAGAATCCATCCACTGGAATCAAAGTTCTTCTATAGACTGCACAAATATCGATACTATTTCTATTTATAGAACTCCACTTACACAGCTGATGTTACTGAGATATTAACATTTCTTTTCCTCTAGTGTTTCAAAGATAGTTCACAGTGTTTGGGTTAATTAATCAACTGCTTTAAATCTTTGGTAAACACAATTATTTACATGTGAAAATGTCTAAATTTCAGCATTGAAAAGTCAAATAGTTTTGTATAATCAATAAAAGTTACCTTTTAGGACTGCTAATGGTAAAATTTGAAATCCACAAAACAAATAGTTTTAGGCTTCTATGGCCACTACCATCACCACAACACTAGGCCACAACAAAATTAAAAACAAATGTTAAGTTTAACCTAGAGATGGTACTGATTATTTTACAATGCAGAAAATATATCTCAGTTTAAGCATTAGCTGACACAAATGAGTTTATTATCTCATGAAAGCCTATTTTCTTGCAAGAGTGAGAACTGTTTAAAGAAGTCATACTGTTTTGAAAGACAACAATTCAATCTTCTGGCCATTTACCCACGAAAATATAGATAATTTCTTGAGACTTGTGGGAAATATGCTCGATGCCTGCCTTCTGCTTCTCTCCCTCCCTCCCTCCCTTCTTTTTCTTCTCCAAGAGTAATCTGCTAGATTGGTCTGTCAACCTGCACATTATTCCTTAACTCTCCCAAAGTACCATATACATTCTAGCTTTCATTCATTATATCTCAGTCTCAGTAATTCAGAAATGAAAGCATCCTGCCATGAAAACCTCTTAATCACAGGTTGTTAAAATTTTCCAAGAATTTTTTAAATTATAATATTCTTGAACCACTGGATAAGTAGTTTCTTTTTTTTTTAATAGATAGGTTAATGGTGGACTGTAGAGAATATAATGAAATGTATCCAAAATACATCTTTTTAAACCTAGAAAGTGGTTGTCTTTGGATTGCCACCACTGTAGGCTAAAGAAGAATCCTTCCTACTGACCTAGGTCTTGGATGTATGATTTCTTTCCTTAATTTTAGTTTCTCTCATCTACTGATTCTTTAGAAACAAAGCAAGGTTAAGAGATTTTTGCTATCACTTTGGCAATTCTTATCTCTCTCCAACTGTCAACATCCTGAATTTTCAGTGCATATTTTTAAATTTGCCCAAGACTAGGCACTCAGCAATATGTGTTCATTTATTGTGAACAGGAAAGCAGCATAATAAAGGGGCCGTATTTATCAGAAGTATTCTTCTGCGTTCTCACATAGGTCCAATGCCTGAGCTGTAACTTTGAATTAAAAACATTTCCATTCATTCAAAGTGAACATCAGTCACCAGCTTTTCCTTCCTAGAGCAGATATATATATATAAAGATTTACACACAGTGTAAACTATGCCCTAAACCTTTGAATGACAAGAAAATACTGGTATATTGACACCTGCTAATCAATAAATACCCATAGCTTACACCATTAAGCAGAGGTCTAAAATAGTGACCTATTAGAAACTGCTGGCCTGTATCTTCACCCCTTTCTCCATTCTTGCTGACTAAGAGAGAGAAAACTGAAGTTCTTTCTTTTTCAGGATGTGATATAAACTCAAGTGTTACTCTAAGTTAAAAGCTACAGTCCAGCACTGTGTTCTCCCGGGCACAGAAACCAGCTCTTCTCCTCTTTGACTTAGTGTTCTCATCAAAGAGTTCTGTTGCTGTTGTTTGTTTTTGAGGAAGTGAGTTCACACGCAAACATTCAGGAAGCAGCACTGGCTAAACCCACTTTGATCCCTTAAAGTGCCCCGAGTGTCCCTTTTCACACAGCCACTTTTTCCTTTGCCAGGTTCTTTGGTTCCTTGCTGGGGATACACCAGTCATCAGCCTCATTGCTCATCTGATAATGCTTGTAGGCTGACTTGTTAAAGACCGGAAGCTTTTCTACAGACTCAGAAGATAAAGCCTGAAAGAAGAGGGGGGGGGGAAATCAAACCAGGGAAATTATTCATGGCCTAATTTGAGCTTGAAGTGATTATTCAAAATAAGGTTGAGGTAAGTATTCCAAAATTCAAGTATATTCTTTTAATTGGCTTGCTTATATGAGCACACCAGAGCCCTTAGTATGCTAGGCACTGTATAAAAGAAAATAAACAAAGTGAATTCTACCCTATAGGAGCTAAAATAATACATAAACAACTACAAATTAGGAAATCAGATTTATGTTCAATATTTATGTGTCCTTTGTCTGGATATTGCTGATGTGACAGAGCTGAATAGCAAAGCTATTCTTTGCAGGAAAAACCTCTGCAGCTGTGATAAAGTGAGAGTCCTAATTATTAATCTATTAAAAGATTCCTTCCCAATACTTTGAAGACTTCTGTTCATTTTAAAAAGAATATATTAACTATTTTAGATGGTCAAAGATCATTTGGCAATTATAATCTCCCGCTTTTTGAAAGTTTGAGCTGTGTCACTTCACTTTTATAAAAGACCTACATGAGATGTATCTATGTGCCTATTTTCATTAACCAAAAGAAATCAGAAGAGGATCTTTGCTTTTACAACAAAAGCTAAAAAGCAAAGAGCAGTGACCTGTGTTTTACAGTAGCTCTTACAGAGGCACCCCACACCCTCTCGCACAGAGCAACAGGCCAAACTCCTCCCCGGGGAACTACACTCAGCATCCAAGAAGCATCAGTCTACCATAGGTTTGACCTGTGTCTGTGATCATCTATTCTTGATCCCTATTTATTTTGTGCATTTTAATAAGATATGTCCTAAAGTAACAGAAAAGCCTAAAGAGAGCTCCTGCGAGTGTTAACATTTAGCATAACCTGGATGTAACTGAAACTGATACAATAGGCAACAACTGCCCCAAAGTGAAGTTGGCCAGGAGCTCAAGGAGAAGCACTTGCGTTAGATTTTCCACTGTGATTGACAGTGTGTGATGATGGCACTTAAGTATGATGTTAATTTTCAGTTTAGGGCAGGTTTTCAGGATGTTTTGAGTGACTACAAGTAGAGTTGTTTGATAGAAAAGTGTGTGAGACTAAGCAGTCAAGCATACTATCCTATTTCAAGCCTTTACATCAGCCACAGTACATGATAAAGCTCAATCTTCCACAGAGAGGCACAAGCGGCTATAGAAGAGGGCGTAGATGTTAGTGACCTCCTTGGACAATAAGATGTCCATAGATGACACACTTCCTCTGTCTCCAGCATCCCAGTCTCCTGGGCCTCCCACCACCCTAATCTCGGACTCCGCCTAAACCTCCCTCATGACCACTTCTCAGCCTTGCAGTGTGCACACGCTCTGATTCTGGTAAGTGAGACTGCGTTGTACATACATTACTTCTACTTTGTCTAGGCTATGCATTTATCATAATATTCCTGTTTTTACTATATATTAGCATTGTTTTAAGTCTTATTTGTCTTATTTGGTAAGCTTGGTTGGTTATTCTGGGTTGTGGGAATGCTCAAAACATATTTCATATAAATTAATGGTAATTGCATCTCATTTTATGCCATTTCAACTTACGAAAGGCTGTGTAGACACACGCTACTTTCAGAAAGTGACGGAAACCTGTAATTCCCTTACACAAAATGGGAGCCTAGATATATTTTCAGTCCAAATAGCTGACAAATGATTAACAGAATGAGGACAGTGACCTTAACAAATTGAGGTTTCACCAGCAATAGGAAAAACATGTACCAAATTTAAAAGTTTAAACAGGAAATGCCTGCCATCGCACTGACAGCTGTGAGCAGTGAGCTTTCCTTTCTTTGGATTTCTAATAAGGTCAGCTTAAGGTCTTGAATATCTTGATATCAATAGTTTTCTGGGCTGGAACAAAATTTGCATACATTTCCCACAGGTTTAAATAAAACAAAATGCAGCCATTCTCACAAATGCCAAAAGAAGTTGTCTTAAAAAAATTCACATGAGCATATCCTCACTCTGAAATTAATGTACTTCTTGGGAAACAATTTTGCTTCACTTAAGGCAGGTGGCCTAACCTTGTTTCCTTTTTAGTAAATTACCGTGTTAAATATTAATGGTGTATGCACACATAAACAAACAAAAGACAGAATAATTTCTGGTTATTTTTTGCGTTAACCCAGTTTGGGGAATTCACTGTGAGCCATAAAACTCAGGGCTGTTGAAACCCTAAAAATATCACTGCAGTAATGAGGCGGCTGGGGGTGGGGACAAAGAGAGAAGGGGACCCACTAGCCTCAGGTAAAGAACGATGGGTGCTTTGATAGAGGGTGTGGTGAGGTAACACATCTGAGGAAGTGTGAACCTATCCCTCTAAATCATATACAGTGTTGTAAAACAAAGTTCCCTCAATAAAGAAAAAAAGAAAGAATAACTGAGCAACAAGAATTCAGGGCTATAAAAGAAGTAATCTTTTCTCAAATATTATTTTTCTTTCTACTGAATTCAAAGATACCTTTAAATAGATGATCGCATCTGTTCCATATCCTGACAAGGAGTAGAGATTCAAATCTCCTTGAAAGTACTTGGCATAGAGACGAGAAATTGGCAGGCCGTAACCAAATCCAGCCTGGAGGGGAAAGATCAGTTATTGATAAGGCGATGGACATGATTATTGGAATATAACCTGTAAGGAGGAGTATTATCCTCCCTGACACTAGAACCTAGGTAAATATTAACCGCTTCTACGGCTTGGCTCATCAGAGACCTCTTGTAGAACCATTTCACGATGTGTAACTTGCTTTATCATTCTTTCACACCCCTCAGGCCTAATTTAGTTAAATTTATTATCTTGCCAAATACTTGCCGACATTTAGAACTAGGTGTTTGGATGAATTTAGCCATACAATTGATCTTACCAAAGGAGCATTCCGGGAATTGTCCATCACAGGTGTGGGCGCAGTGGAGTATGTGTAACTAAAGAGGCGGTCAGTGATTCTCAGGGGAACACCACCTCCTCTGTCTGAGATCTTAAACAAACAAACACATCATCAGACCAACATATTAAAACCAGTGTGCATCTGTCTATATGAAAATGTCTCTCCTTCATTTAAAAGCTGCCTGGCATTCAGGACTTGGATCTATTTCTCCAAGCGAGAGCTTTATTATTATTGACTCTTTTAAATCCTCTCAAATGATTCCAAAGAAAAAACAGAAAATGTTTACCTTAATTGTAAGGTCTTCTTTTCCCAAGACAACAATCACCTCAATTGGTGTAAGGGCAGGACAATTTTCTTGGTGTTCAACTGTTGCCCTCATGGCATTCTAAAGAAAACAAAGCGATAAGAAATTCCATGACAGAAGAATGAGGGACAATAAATGTTTTTTATGTTTAAAATAAAAGCAACACAGAGGGCAATTCAAAGTTCCGATATTTTTTTAAGTTAGCAGAAAAACAGCTCTGTAAATAGCCATTTATGAATGTGTCATGCAGGATGTATAATGAAAAATATTCATTTACTGTGCAGTATAGCTCCTGGGAGGAATGTCTAATGGAAAAACAATTCTGCTGGCTGTCAAGTTCTTATTTGTAAGCTTAATTTAAATGTAGAAATTGGTTTTTATAGTCCATTTCCTGGCTCTCTCTTTTCTGTCTTTCCATTACATTTTACATCCAAGCACCAAAGACGATTATATAACAAATGAACAGTGACTCATTGAACCAATTTATTGGCTTTTATAAAATTTGCTGGGAGAAGGTTGTTACTATTTAAAAGGATAGTAAATAATTCTAAATTAAATTTCAATTTACATTTGATTATCATCTTAACTTTTACCAATGATGGCAAAATAACTCAAGGAGTTGGACCATTCAATTTAAAAATAAATCAAATCACTGAAAAGGTATCTTTTGTCCTTTAACAGAAAAAAAATCTAAGTTGTTAGACAACCGGGTGAATCTCATATAGGTGAAGTCTTGGTTTATTTTACCCATTTTCCTCTCTAACCTCCTTCTGGTAGGTTCCATGCTTCCTGCTTTCTTTGTAATATTAAGGTCTAATCATTGGATGAAGTGAAATAAAATAGACCAGATGTTTGAAGTACAATTGCACTAGTATTAGAATAAGTTAAGAGTAGTATATTTCTTTGAAAAGAGTTATATCAGAATCAGATTACACTTTTTTATGCTTTCTCTTCTGTAGTCCAGGGATCTCGGGAACACCTCAAGGCTTCAAGTGCTTTTCTAGCTTTTGGTGTAAGTTCAGAGATTTAGTTTGGTCTTAGAATCCAGGAAAGGATTTGATTCTTAGCACCTTGCTACCCCAAATGAGTAACATCAGCTAGCTCTGAGAATGCGGTTGACTTGAGTATTTGCAAGTGGGTGAATCAAAACCTCTGGAGCACAGTCTGAGAATCTATGTTTTAACAAGCCCCCCAGGTGATTCTGTTGCAACTTTAGCTTGAGATGTGTGATTAGCATCCCCTGCCCCTTTCTGGGCTTGCTATGGAGAGTAAGGCCTGTGGGCCAGCAATTCTACCTTTAGCTTTTAGAAATACAGACCCTCAGGCCCCACTCCACACCTATAGAATCAGTTTGCATTTCAGCAATACTCCCAGATGAGTCAGATGCTCATTAAAGTAGATCACTGAAGGAACTGACTGTCCTTTGATTATATTTTAGTCGTAGGGTTGCAGCATTTCCACCTAAGGTAATTCCAAATTTGACCCTCTAGATGTGGACCTAGAATAGTCTGTGGGGGTGGAGATAATAACGCCTCACTCACTGAAGCAGTCACCCCATGACCTCCCTTAAGTAAGGCATGAATGACTAGTGCTTTGTTGCACACCTGAAGAAATAACAGGAACAGGAAGCATTGAGACATCATGAATCACATTTTGCATACTCAAAGAGATGATGATGCTACAAGGAACTGCATGTATCCTTCAAACATGGTAGCTTCTTTCTCTTAGGAGCCAAGAAGCATGATTAGGAAGAGGTAGTGAAGCTCTTGTGTAATGGGAATTATAAAGGATATTAAAATGTGACAAGTGAATTTTTTTAAAAACAGTATTATAATTATTGTGAAGTGGCATACCTTGAATAGTTCAAAGAGCATATGATGAAGGTGAGAAGGGACATAGACAATGTGAATTGGTTGGCCTGGAAATTTTCCTAGAAAAAAATTAAACATTTAGATTTGGAAACGAACATACAGTAAAATGAGCTTCTTTATCTGTCTGATTAATTTAGGCTTATACAGGATTGAAATATTCCCCATCCTCCTCTCTCCAAAATCCTCCTCAAGACCCTTCCATCTTTAACAGTAAACACAACTGGCTTACTTTCAAAATAAGGTTTTGTAATTTAGGATAGTAACTAAGGTTACTACCTAGTGCTCTATGATTATCTTTACCTTTCTCTGTAAATGTACAAAGTTGCATGAGCCACGCAACAAAGATTCCATCAATTAGATTACATGGATTGTTTATTCTACTTTCAAAACTTTGCATCCTGGACAATTTCAGAGTTAAAACTAAAGGCAACATGGATGGAGCTGGAAAGGATTATGCTCAGTGAAATAAGCCAGAAAGAAAAAGAAAAATATCAGATGGTTTCACTTATAGGAGGAATGTAGGGGAACCAAATAAGGGATCAGGGAAAAAAAAAGTAATTATAAATTAAAAATCAAAATCAACAGGCAACTATGAATCAGAGGTGTTTTGCAGGGGAGGGGGAGGGAGTAGGGTCAAAACTGGGGAGCGGAGAGCACAAGCAACCATGGTGATGGCACATGGGTGACTGGTGATGGGAATTTCATGGGGACTACACCTGAGAGGAGAAAGCATGCATTGTATAAAAATGAAGAATGAGGTAAAAAATATACAAAATTTAAAAAATGAAAATAAATAAAGGCATTTTTAAAAGGGAGAAAAAAATAAATGTGTCTGAAGTATAACACTGAAATTAAGCAAGCTATAATTTTCCTATTTTTAATGCATAGTGCAAAAACACATCTGATTATTCTTGATTTGCGTATCAAACAAACTTTCTATCTTACAGACTAGCTATGCTTAAATTTCACCAAGAAGCTAAGGAAAACAGGGAAACAAAAACTTCATAATACTGTTTGAAAAGAAAAACAAAAGTATTATTCTTTGGTGTCCTGGGCCTTGGCAAGTTTGAATCAGCAAACAGAAGGCCTGGCACAGTTTCTTCTTTATTTCATCAAAGAGTTCAAATAGCTTGTCTACAGTATTATGCAACAATACTGTTAAATGATCACAGATATTTTTTAATCTTTATTTGTACTCCTATTTTTAGTTTAGCAATCAATTATATTAGCACAGTCCCAATCCATGAGTTAGGCTACTTGGAGTTGCAAACAACTGGATTTTCACTCTCACAGCCAACAAACATTGTTCCTATATAACCCTGACTTGGAAGAGATACTCACTTTTGGTTTTGTGGTTTTTTGTTTTTTTTTTTTTGATACTCACTTTAAATGGAAAGGAAAAGATTATTTTTATTTAAGTATACTGTCTTAATTTGAAGAACAACTATGGGATAAGATAAAAATAGTGCTTTGCATTCAGTCAATGAGGGAAGACCTTGTCTTTTCATGTACCTTAGAATTAAAGCTTTTAAGTTTGCTCTGATTTTTAAATAATGGTCTATACTTAAAGTGTAACTTAAAAAAATCTGGTGAGAACACTTACATGAGATCTACCCACTTAATAAATTTTGGGGTACATAACACAATGCTGTTACCTGTAAGCAAGATGTACAGCAGATAGCTCACATTTATTCATCTTGCATAACTTGAATTCCCATTGAATAATATCACCTCATTTCCCCCTAACAACCACCATTTTGCTCTCTGCTTTTAGAAGCTCCACTTTTATAGATACTTCATATGAGTGGAATCACACAGTATTTGTCCTCTGTGATTGGCTTGTTTCTTAGAGTGCAATTTAAAGTTTTTTTTTGCTCATATTATGAGTACCTCTTTGGGTTGCTTCTCTCAAGTGATTACCCCTACTTCTGACCTCCCTATCCTTCATATTCTATACTAAGCAATCTTTGATCTAAGGTAATGGAACTGAGTTGCTATTCTAATCCCCAAATTATCTGTCCAGACTATTCTTCCTTATGTTTAGTCATTAGCAAGTGAATGTGCTCAACAGCAGCTTTTTAGTTGAGATTTAAAAAAACCTTGGCTTCAAAAATAAAAAAGTATACAAATTCTAGGCAAGTTTGGAACAGAAAAAATGAACACAAAAGTAGCTTTGTATTTACAAAACATAATCCTATTGAGAGAATACTGAATTTTCCATAGATTAAAGTATATTTTATTTACAGCTTACCATTCACTTGTGTGAGCTTTAATTCTGGAGATGTTAAATAATACTGATCACAAAGCATCTTTGAACACTCAAAGGCATCTGGAATAGAAAGTTTTTTTTTTTTCATAATGATGAAATGAATGTATTCCAAGTAAAATTTTCAGCTGATCTTCAGGGTATATACTATCCTAAATGTATTCACTACTGTACAGGTATATGTATAGGCAAAATATTTTTTAATATAGTATTCAAGAAAAATTAAGGCACCATTTAAGATGTAATTGTAGCAATAAGTATATGCACACTGCAGAGATTAAATATATATGAATATGGCACATAAGCCACTGGCGTTTGGATTTTTCATAATATTATACATGAGTGTTTAAACTCCTGACTCAAAATCAAACCACTTACTGACAGTATTTATAAATATATAAAAGGAATGCTCTTATTATAAATTCACTCAGAGTCACCTCAACTATAAATATGTCAATCATATAATGTATTTTTTCAATAAGGGAAAGGCAGAAATCTAAATTACCTTGGACCACTGCTGCCACATCACAGTTTGGATCAATGCTTCCAATGTGGCTTGGGTTTCCTGACTTTGAGTCACTAAATATAAGAACTGTTGGGGAAAAAATATATTGTTATTGAAATTGTAATAATGAATTGAACTAGCATTGTGAAAGAATGTGACCGACAATTAGGGAAACATCTTCTAGCATGGCTTGTAATCGACCCCCATCTCTATATATCATGACCACAACAAGCTAACTTACTGTGCTGGTTCATCAGCATCCGTGTGGAAATGCGGTTCATGTAGAATCGATCCAAGAAATACTGAAGATTTTGATTGGTGACTGGGTCAACTGTACAGACATCTTTATACTCTATGATTCCTTGGGCCATTGTAGGGACTACATTATGGTGTCTATTTCGAACTTTGATGAGAGCATCTATAAAACTAAGCAAAACGTTTATAGTTAGTGAAAGTTAAAGTAAGTTTCATTCATTCATATTCTTTAGATTATGTCAAAGAAAGCTAAAGTACCTATCTAAAGAATATCAAGTAATAAGCTGTTGTGATAAAGCTTTATTAAGGCTCTCACTATAAGTTCTTTCACTAGAGAATAGAATGGAGATAGTTTTATAAATAGATTTATTTTGCTTGTAGCGCACATGTAGAAATACCAGCTTTGTGACTGGCATATTTTATTTAATCTAGGGGTTCTTTAAGTCTGCTCTCTTTAAGAAGTAATATTTTAAAAAATAGTATTGAAAATGACCCTTAAATGCCATTGTGAAAAAAACTTAATTTTTTTTGGTCAGATCAGGAAAAGATTTCTTACAGCTAGGAACTGTTATAGCTAGAAGGAAAATGTTTAATTTCTGATAGTGACATTTATTAATAATATAAAATAATAAATCCTGCGAACCTAACCACATGACTAGATTGATAGTCAAAGCAGATTTCCTTTTCAGTTCTTTATACTGTATCATTTTTTGATCACTTCTAAAAAACCAGCAAGCCAAAACTTGTCATTTGTAAGGAGGTAGTTATTATTCAGAGTTGGAACTCTTTTAGTTTAAGACTAAAAAAGAATGTTAGGAGTATGTCTGGACATAGTCAAAGTTTTAGACACTTCTTCTAATATACAGAACTTACTCTGATAATGCTTTCTGATCTTCTGGGTTTTTCTCATGGAATTCCACTAAATCCATCAGGCTCTGGATATACCTGTAAAGTGAGGGAGTTGTGGTTCAGGACACTTGAAAAATAATGTTTACAAATAAAAACCTAGAACTTTTAACCCTAAACTTTGTAACTTAATATTTTGGTTCTTTAATGATTCCAGATCAGTATTCAGTTTTGTTTGGCAGATCAGTATTTTGTTTGACAAATGTTTTTGTTTTTTAAAGCAAAAACATTAAAAAATGATTTTTAAAGAAAAACTTCATTTTTTCTCTACTGTTTTCTTCATAGGGGTAATAGAAATCTTAAACATAGCAGTAAACACCATGGACTGAATGTGTATTTCAGATTGTATTTGTATACCAGATATATTTTATGAATCTATGAACAAAAAGCTGTGCAATCTGAATTAGGTGGAGTCTTTGGTACGTACCTGACATATTGCACACACTCGTTCTATCTACCCCCACCAATTCCTTATCCTTACTTGTAAAATGAGATGATAATTGACAGTTCCCGAGTGCCAGCTGTGTGATAGGCACTGTTATAGGTGTTGTTGTTTTTTTTTTTTTTACATGTTACCTATTTAATTACATTCAAATATCCCTTTAAGATATGTACTTTTTTTCCTTCTCAATAACAAATGGAGGAATCCTTGCCAAGGAGTCCACAACTTGGAAGGGGCAGAGAGAAGGATTAGAACCCAGAGCCTGCTGTTACTGGTTTGTAAAATAACAAGGATTAGACCCTCTCTATATAGAACCATTTGAGTCTGTTCCTTTTGTAACTGTAATATCAAAGTATCTTTTATTATTTGAAGTATAAAACAAATATTGCAACTGTCAATTATTTTTCATATTTCATATTTTTCATATTTCCTCTGTACTTTTGATTAAAAGTAAATTGTGAAAGTATCTACTTTTTCATGGTAAAAATGCCTTTATGGTTTTCTAACTGCCATTATGATAAATCTAAATTTTTTTTGATAAACCTAAATTAACAAAAAAAACTTTATATCTATTAAAAATAGATATAAAGAAAATAGATATAAAGTTACTGTTCAGACAACCTATTTTTCATTTGTGTTAATATATCATAAGAATTCCTATTCAGATAACTGTCTTAAAAATAGAGACTGTTTTAAGATAGTTCACCACTTACCAGCTTTTTACTAACTGTACTGAAGAGGTATTTATTAATCTATCAGGAAGAATATCAATTTCCTTCAGGATATTAGCTAGCCTCACAGGCAATTCTTGTCGCAAAAATGCAAAAGAAGTTCTTTCACATGCATTTTCTGAGCCTGTAATAAATAATAATAATTTAGGTTGGGGAGGGGAAGTATGTCTAAGTGATATATTTGAATAGCACTATCCAATATTGAACACACACATATATTATAAAATCATATTTCACCCTCAGTTGGGCTGCCACTATTTATAGATAATTTGGAAGCGGGCATCGTCATTGTCTTTTTCTCTTTTTTTTTAAAAGTGACCAATACAGTGACCTCTTCTTTTTTGAAGAGGTTTCACTTTCAAGAATTCAGAATACCGCATGGCTCTTAGAAGTCACAAAATAGTGCAGGATTCAGGCAACAATACAATGTCAAGGAGACAACATACTTCAAAATATAGCCATGAAATTGGGGTAGGTCCTGTAGGGGTGAGGTGGGAGTCGTAATGTTTCAAGATGTGATGATCACATTTAAATCCTTGAAACTTTCCTCAAAAGACTGCCAAAGAAAGTCTGTAAGTATTTGCAGCAGCAACACAAAGTATGGAAAACTATACAGGTAATGAGACAAATCTGCTGGGAATGCAATGAAAAGTGCCCTGTGGAGGGGTGGAAGTTAGCGAAGATATCGATTAATTTGAGGGTAGTTTACATTAGGAATCCTCTCCAGGAAGAACTATGCTGTGAAGAAGGGGGTAAAAGTTTCTAGTTCATGTTGAATGGTGCCTGAGAGCAAAAAGTACTTTGACAGGGAGCTTTGGACAGAAAAAGAGAAAGGTGGGCTCAAACCATCCAGCATCAGCAGGACTGCAAGTGGACTTGACCTGTTGGCACAAAGTGTCAGAAAGAAGACAAATCTGGAAAAGGCAAGGCGCGCTGGCAAGGCGACTTTAGGGTTCAGCAGCAAGGCGCGCCCACCCAGTTGTTGCAGCGAGGAGCGCAACCCTCCCCGCACCGAAAGTTAAGGCAGTTTCCCTGCACCTGCAACCCCAGCCAGCGTCCTAAGTCCCGGCTCACCAAAGTCCAGCAGCTGCTTCATGGACAGCGGGGACGGGCTATAGCGCGAGAAATGCTCAACTTCGCGGGGCACCAGCGTGGCGCTGCTCAGCGAGCCGGCGTTGCGCAGAACGAAGCGGGCCGCCTTCATCTTGATGCCCACGGGGCTTGGCTCAACTGGGGGAGGCTTGCGTGGCGCAGGCTTCAGGGAGCACGATCTGGGAACCAGCAAGGGGCAGAGCGGGTTTGGCTGGGGTCGAGTAGGCAGGTGTGCTGGTGAGCAGGCGCCCGCACCCGGCCCGCCCAGAAACCCGGGACCGAGGTTTGGAGGTGGAGCAGTCGGGCAGTGAGTCTCAGGAGCAGCGAGCCGAGCTGATGGCACTCAAGTTTGCGTGCTGACACAGCCTGCCGCCTCCTGTGGTTTTATTTGTCTCGCCCCCTAACTCCCTCCGCCCCCCAACCCCCAACTCAGCTAGGGGAGGAGTCTTTGGGACTTGAAGTCTCGTCCAGAAAATAGAGCAGAGCCAATCCGCTCAGACTAAGAACTTTGGGTCCCGCCCATGGCCTTGGTACCGGGAGTGGCCTGGCGCCCGTGCAGGAGCTGTGAGGGGGGATAGGGGAGGAAGGGAATGGAAGGAAGCTGAAGTGGGACATCTGTGGGAAAGTGGGTTCAAGATCAGGTACTTGAGACAGGTGCCCCCGCAATGCGTGGGCTAGGGGCCGCCCAGGCTTGCCCTTGTTTACAAGTGAGAGCCAGTCTCAATGTCACGCATTCCTGGCCAGAAACTATTTCCAAGAATCTGGCCTTCGGGAGCTCATTGGTCATTGCTCGGAAGCGGGGCTTTTACAGTAGCCAATCAACTACATTCAAAAGTATAGTCCTCTATTTGATTGGACAGCGAAAGGACAGCTCTTTGCTAGCAAACAGATCACTTAAAAATGTGAAGTTCCTTTTCCTGAGACTCATAGAGCTACCCCTAATAATTACTTTTTCTTGTGACGATAAGAGGCCATCAATAGGATTCTATCCAGTAATATGATCTCTTTTAGGTTTATTTGTTAATTGAAATTAAAAAATCAATTTATGATTTGATGCACCTTCTTTTTCTCACGAGAATTTGCCCATTCTGACGCCCCTTGTGTGAAATGCCCGTTGTCCAAATTTTTGCTCCGAACATTCTGTTCATCAGGGCCTCCCTGGTGGCCTACGTGTTAAAGACACAGCGCTATCAAGCTATCACCAGTCACTGCAATAGGAGTTCAATCCCCTGCCGGCCAGGGAACTGACCCACATGGTGCAGCAGACCTCTCCTGTGTCCCAGCTGCTCCCCTCAGCAGCATATTTCAGTCAGTCTGCCTGTTCTGTTCCCCACTCTGTCTCTGGTGAATCCTCTCATCCTCCTGCACCTCTGGCCTGTACCCCGGTTCTTGTATAAATAAATAAGTCTCTCTTTTTTTTTAAGATTTATTATTTATTTATTTGTTTATTTGTACAAGCACTGGGTACAGTCAGAAGCGCGGGAGGGTGAGAGAATTCACCAGAGCCAGAGCGGGGAGCAGAGCAGGCAGAGGGACTGAGGTACACTGCTGAGGGGAGCAGCGGGCGGCAGGAGAGGTCTGCTCGCCATGCGGGACCCTCCTCCAGTGGCCGGGGAGCAGCCGGGGATTGAACCGGCGCTGCAGAGGCTGCGGGCAGCTTCGCAACCCAGCGCTCAACTGCTGCGCCTCTGTTCTACCCTTAAATATATCCAGTAAAAGTATCTGTTTGGGTCTTTTATGATTACCTCTTCCCATATTGTTACTATGACTCTATGTTGTAGCTATTTGTGTTCTTACATTGTCCCTCTTTGAAACGCGCCCCTGGATGACATCAGAGTAGGTACCATGTGTGATACAGCTTTGTGATTTTTACCCTACTTTGTCACTGCTCACACAGTTTTGTAAACATGGACGTAGTTCCAAATTGGATCTCCTCGGAGACAGGTTTTGAAGCAACTACTCTGAATCTAGAACTGAAGATATCTGGAATCCAGTATCTGAAGATAGTACTCTGGATCATTTATTACTTATTTCCAAAGCTCACTGAAGCAAAAGCAAAAGAAGAAAGAGTGTATGAAGCAAAAAGATTTAAACTGTCTCTGGTCAGAGTGTTATACAAGTAAATTTATGGTAAAAATCCATTCCTTTTTTCTGTATTACATAAAAAAAAAATACAACCCAGAAAAGCATCTATTCTTTTACCATGTCTGTGGGATTTAGAATAGGCATACACACACATACACTTATGCATACACATAAATGTATATACACCCATGTCCATATATCTCTGTGCCATGCATATAAACACAAAGAATTATACTCTAATCTTCAGAGGAAAGGTAATGTATATGATGGATTACAGGCAAACCTAATTTAGGAAAGCCCTATTTCTGTGAGTTTATTGAAGACTGGACTCATCATCCAGCACTACTCCTTATGTGTTGTGGGATGATTAAAGATCAGATGAAGTCATATGATGTTCACAGAGATGGCTAAGGACTGAATGTGAACTGAGGTCATTAAACTTTTGTTCCATGTCCTCCTGTCCAAAAATATTTACCAGGTTACTCTCATAGAGCATTGCATTCTTCTAGGTCACATCTCTATGTTAGGAACTGTTGTTATAATTGGCAACACTTATGGTGGCTGGACTGGAATAGGCAGGTCAAGTTGTTTACCCAGTTGGCTAAGATGCTATATATTACCCTGATGAGAGTGTGACCTGGAAAGAGAGTGGCACTGTGATCACAGGGTTGATCACAGATCTTGGTCCAGTTGCTACAAAAGACAAGCAAAAAAGACTATCTGAGGTCAGTGAGTATGGATAGGTCAGTGCATTCATTTTAGTAAAAGTAAACCATGATGGGGTCATGAAATTTTTTGATGGAAATGGACTAGTGAATATACCAAACTTACCCTAGTGGTGGATAAGTACCCAGGACAGTGCTAAACACAGAATCCCTCTCTGAGGTACCCAATTCCTGAAATTTTAAGGGACACTCATACCTATTATTGAGTGAATTCTATCCAGATTGTCTGGCAAAATCTAGTAACATATGGTCACTGGAAGAACTTTAAGAATGCAATTCACACTTTTGCCAAAGGACTAAGTGTGTACAATTTGACAAAATGCAGCAAGATCCTTAGGTGTCTATTCAATTTTTTTCACCTTCAGAAACATATTCCGAGGAAACAAATAAAAATATGTAAATAGTAACTTAAAAAGCCATGATGGAAGATGAAGTGATCTAACTATATAACATTTAAAGTTAAAAACTGCCATCAGATGAAGGCCTTTCCTTTAAGATCAGGAAGAAGACAAGGATGTCCTCTTACCACTGCTCTTCAATATAATACTGGAGGTCCTAGCAGGGCAATAAGACAAGAGAAAGACAAGAGGAATCCAGATAGGGAAAGAAGAAGTAAAACTACCACTGTTTGCAGACAATATGATAATATACATAGAAAATCCTAAAAACTCCACAAAAAACTACTCAAAATAATCAACCAGTTCAGTAAAGTAGCAAGATACAAAATCAAGATACAAAAATCAGTAGCCTTCCTATACACAAACAATAGGAAGAAGAAATCAAGAAAACCATTCCTTTTATAATTGAAACAAAAACAATCAAATATTTGGGAATAAACCTAATAAAAGAGGTGAAAGACCTATACAAAGAAAATTATAAAACACTGTTAAAAGAAGTAGGAGACACAAAGAAATGGAAAGACACCCCCTGCTCATTGATTGGAAGAATTAACATTGTTAAAATTTCTATCTTCCCAAAAGCAAGATACAGATTCAATGCTATTCCAATAAAAATCTTAATGACATTCTTCAAAGAAATAGAAAAAAAACTGATGAAATTCATATGGAATCACAAAAAAAAAAAAAACATGAATAGCCAAAGCCTTCCTGAGGAAAACAAAGGAGAAAGGAGGTATCACACTTCCAAACTTCAAGCTCTACTACAAAGCCATGATAATTGAAACGATTTGGCATTGGAACAAAAACAGACACACAGACCAATGGAACCGAATAGAGGGCCCAGAAATAAAACCACACTTATATGGACAACAGATCTTTGACAAAGGAGCAAAGAATATGCAATGGAACATGGACAGTTTGTTCAATAAATGGTGCTGGGAAAACTGGACTACCATATGCAAAAAAAAAAAAAAATGAAACTAGACCATTACCTTTCACCGTGCACAAAAATCAAGTCAAAATGGATAAAAGAACTGGACATAAGACCTGAAACCATAAAATATATAGAAGAAAATATAGGTAAAACACTACAAGACATACATTGCAATAACATATTCAAAGACTCATCACCCAAAGCAAAGATAGTCAAGGAAAAGATAAACACCTGGCATTACATCAAACTGAAAAGCTTCTGCACAGCAAAAGAGACATTAACCAAAACAGAGAGACACCCCACTGATTGGGAAAAATCTTTACACCCTGGTCAACTGATAAGGGACTGATCACAAAGATACACAAAGAACTCACATGACTTAACAAAAACAAAATAAACAATCCAGTCTAGAAATGGGCAGAAGAAATTAAAAGACATTTCTCCAAAGAGGGAATGCAAATGGCCAACAGGCATGTGAAAAAATGTTCAACATCCCTTATCATCAGGGAAATGCAAATTAAAACCACATTGAGACACCACCTTACACCAGTAAGAATGGCACATATCAAAAAACAAGCAACAACAAATGTTGGCGAGGATGTGGTGAAAAAGGAATGCTCCTACATTGCTGGTGGGAGTGCAAACTGGTCCCACCACTATGGAGAGCTGTCTGGAGGTTCCTCAGTCTACTAAAAATGGAGCTACCATATGTCCCGGCAATTCCACTTCTAGAAATCTACCCAAAGGACACAAAAACATTGATTCAAAAGAACACCTCTACTCCTATGTTTATTGCAGCACTATTTACAATAGGTAAAACCTGGAAACAACCTGAATACCCAAAAATAGATGACTGGATCAAGAAGATGTGGCATCTATAAACAATGGAATATTATTCAGCAATCAAAAAAGATAAACTCATGCCATTCACAGCAACATGAATGGAGCTAGAAGGAATTATACTCAGTGAAATAAGCAGAAGGAAAAAGAAAAATATTGGATGGTTTCACTTATAGCAGGAATATAGGGGAACCAAATAAGACATCAGTGTAAAAAATTAATAACAGTACAAAACACAACAAAGCTAAAATGGGCAATTATAAATCAGAGACATCCTGCAGGGGAGGAGGAAGGAGAGGGATCCCAGGGAGGGAGGGAGGAGCACAGGGTCTGAGGTGATTGTGCACGGGTGCGTTGGTGAAGGAAACTCTATGGGGGCCACACCTGAAGGGGTGGAGAGAAGCAGATA